AAAAAAAGGTTTTTAAGAAGTGTATTCCTATGGAGTGTATAAAAGTGGGAATGGAGTAGCTTAGTTTAATAAGAAAATGTGTGTTTCTCTCTCCACTAATCTTGAATTTACTGAACGAGCCTGGAGAAACACAGTGTCCTGAGCCCTGCACACCATCTTACCAGACTCAAACAGAAGCATTCTTCAGGTGTCACGAATTCTAATTTCCTTCATTTTTAGTGGCAATTCAATCTTGCTATGTTCATGCATTTCTCGAATACAAGTGGCCAACAATAACAAAACACTTTGGGGAGAAAACACTTCCTGTGTGGCTGAAGGGAGGTCATGGGGAAGCTGCTCGCTAATCTTTCCTGGGTTTAGTCCTTCTGATTAATTCACTATTATCTGATTAATTCACTATTATCTTCTCCTCACCCCTATAGTGAATCCTGCTGGTCAACCCAACCAGAGGCCTGGGAACGACTGCGGATGTTCTGTTACTACGTACAGAAGTATGACTCTTACCTGGAGTTTCTGGTGTTTCATACTCATTTCCTAGAAGAAAGAGAAGAAAACGAAATGTCACGGGACTACTCAATCTACCTCATTACCACAGAGTCTGAAGCAACTCATCTCTGACCCTCCAGTGGGTTTTCAAGTGGCTATAAATCCCACAGGAGGAGATTGCTTCTCTTTCTCTGATGAAGCTGCTGGTCAATTTGAACAGCCAGAGGGGCAGCGCCTTTGGGTTTTCAGGGCAATATTTTATAGACTGCACCACCAGAGTCGCTTATAACTCCATTACTCCTCCTCCTTGTGCTGTTAAGCAGGGACCGACTCGAGCTGACCCTCCAGCCAGTTTGCGGAGGCTGAAATCTCACCGCTGAAGATGGCCCATCTTTCTTTCTCAGAGCAGCTGCCGAATTTGAGCCACTTGCCTTCAGATCTCCCTAAGAGTCTAATGTCAGGTGCAGCTGAGTCCAAGTTCGAACTGACTGCTAGCAGGTTTTCAGAGGCTGTAAATCCAATGGGAAGAGATTGCCCATCTTTTCCCCACGAAGCAGCTGGTGGATACCAACTACCTGTCTTTGGGTTGGCAGAGAAATTCCTTAACTAGGGCCACTGGAGCCCCTGCAAGTCTATTTGGGATGGTGGAAAGTCTGGAATTCCTGCCCTTTTTGGGAGGCTCAGCTGTTGTCCATCTGTAAAAGACTCCAGTGAAAAACAATTTAGTCTAAAATGATCCCGTTAGTGATTATTTTAAAATTACTTGCAGGATTGCTAAGTTGAATGGAAATTCTTCGGAGTCTTGAAAATGTCTCTAGAGATAGCAAGCCAAGGTCTAACTCCACACTCAGGAATACCGCCACCCATTCTGTCACTTCGCTTGGCTTTCTGTTTCTCCGCCTGAGGGCGAGGCAAGAGATATATTGGAGGGGCAGGGAGGGAACCCAGGTTCATTCTAAGGGACTAATTTTACCTGTTGTCAAGTATTTAAAATGCTCTTCTTAAATTAAAATAGACATGACTTCCAAGGTATCTTGGAAGTGAAAAATCCATTTGACTTGCAAAAATAGAAAGCAGATGAGAAGCAAAAGAGCAAGATCTTCGATGAGAAGGATTGGCCCACTGATTGCCACAGTGGTTCTGAGCACGGCAGAGACCGTAAGGATGGTCCAGGCAAGGACAAGGCTTTGACCTGTTGTTCATAGAGCTGCTGCGAATCATAGCCGACTTAACAGCACCTAACAACAACAACAACAGCCCTGCCTTGCTAGAGAAATGTGGAGTGATATGCAAACAAATGCCACATTAACAAGATGGGAGGGACGTGGGTTTAGGGAGTGGTGGAGAAATACTTTAATCAGAGGCCCTGGCTGGTGGCTTCTCTGGCGTGAGGTCTGAGATCTCTATAAGGCTCTGGACTGAGCAGGGTTTCCTTACTTAACATCTGCTGTCACCATCATGACAATTTTTTTTCTTCTTTTATTTTTTTTAAATTTTATTATTTTTGTGTGTGTGTACCGTCAAATCAGATCTGACAGGTACAGGAGGAGACGGCCCCTCCTTCCCCGGCAGAGCATCTGGTGGATTCGAACCGTGTACCTCTGGAATTGTAGTTGCAGCTTCTTGCCACTAGGCCACCAGCATCATGACAATTTTAATAGTGCATTTTGTGGGGGACGTGCCAGTTAGGTATCTGGTCCCACCGCTGGACAAAGTCTTATGCTTCGTACATCTAATTTATTTTAATATTCTTTGACTTCGCAAATAAACATTTGAGCACTGGGGTTTGATTTAGGGGGGGTTCTGCTTCATAAAGACCATTGAGGAGAAACAACAACAACAAATTTCGTACCTCTAATTTATTTTAATATTCTTTGACTTCGCAAATAAACATTTGAGCACTGGGGTTTGATTTGGGGGGGTTCTGCTTCATAAAGACCATTGAGGAGAAACAACAACAACTACAACAACAAATTATAAAAAAAAAGACCATTGAGAAAGTTCTACTATGAATATTCTTCTAAAGAACATGATGACTGAGCACTGAAGGACACTCACCCAACGGACGTTACAAAGACATTCTCTTGTGTTTGGGAGAAAGGGGAAAATGGACCCCCGGGGGGGGGGGGATGGGAAGATAGAAGTGCATTTACCTGAGCAGATGACACCAGCATCCTCCTTGTGCTCGCAGTTGTGGGCGAACCAGCCAGCGTGGGAGCACTGCCCCAGGGAGGCCTCGGTCCCGGAGCACTGCACGTTGTCCAGAAGGATGGGGCCAGAACCCTGGCCAAAGTGGGCCCCTCCGGGGGCAGACACGGCTGTCCCACAGCCCAGCTGCCGACACACCACCTGCGCCTGGGTCTCGCCCCACAAGTCGTCGCACACCGTGCCCCACACGCCTTCAAAATATACTTCGACTCGGCCAGAACATCTTCCAGAACCTTCCACGAGCTTCACAACAAGCCAGTCTTGGGGAGAAAGGCAGCCTCAAAGTGATGTTGCATGGAGCCATCATCTTCATGACTATTGCTGTCACCTCAATAGCTACCGTGTATGGCACACCACCTGTGTTCCGGGCTTTCCCCAACGCCTCAGAGACTGGATGTGTGGGCGGTGGCCTTGGTGGGGTTGAGAGCACACCCCCAACAGTGCACTCTGGACTTTGAACCACGGTTCCGTGGTCCAGCTCACAAGCTCTAGAGGTTCGGTCTACCCTCTCATTCCCTGCAAGCTGGGCCAGTGATCCCTCCTCAAAGGACACGAATGGATCAGATTGCGGCAAAGTTTCCCGAATGGGGCTGGCATGGGGCTGGCAGTTTTCCTCCCCATTTTATGGACAAGTGATTAGCGGACCCACCGGTCAGCATCTACCCAGTCAGCTCTGCCCAGCAGTTGCCTGGTTGGTCTCCTGCTGTCTTAGCTCCTCTCCGTGGCCACAGGGTGTGACCCTCATCACTCCCATCTTTCAGCAGGCTCCCCAAACTCCCGGCATGCCCCACTCAGTAGACCAGAATGTCTGGGGAGGGACTCAGGGTTATTATATGTTTAACAAGAGGTAACAACCCCGGATGAGATGGATTGATAAAAAAACTGAGGTGATAGGGGTTGACGTGTCAGAATTAGTGACACTGGCTCAGGACAGGGAAGGGTTCAGAGCTGCTGTACATAGGGTCACAGTGCATCACAGGCAACTCAACCAATAACATTCTATTACAGGTTTGGAAGCAGGAGTGGCATCTACTTCCCAAGCAACATTTCTCTGGAAACCCTATGAACTTTGATAAATGTCAATAGTTGTAGAGGAGCTTCAGGCCTTTTGTTCAGAGGGTTGCTATGAGTCATGCTCGACTCAAAGGCAATCAACAACAACAAGAACAACAACGATGCATACCCCAAATCTGAGAACACCTGAGACACACTCTTAAAGCAGTTTCTAATACGTGCTATTGTGCGCCGTGAAATTGGTTTTGGTACGTGGTGACCCTGTAGGACAGAGCAGAACTGCCCACAGGGTTCCAGGGGTCATCTTTGTAGATGCAAATTGTCCTGTTTTCTTCCTTGGAGCAGCTTGTGTGCTCAAACTCTCGACCTTTGGATTAGCAGCTGCGAGCTTAACCATCGTGCCATCTCTAAAGAGTATATACTCTACTCATTGTCATTGGGTTGGAACTAACCCTCCAGTGGGTTTACAGTGGCACCAAATAGCACAGGAGGAGACTGCCCATCTTTACTCTGAAATTAGCCCAAGTTTTGAGGGCATCCTGCCTTCTTAAGCAGAAATAAAAGGGTCTTCGTTTTGGAGAGAAGAGATTAATCCTGCTCGGGAGGCCCTTCCATCCCCAGGGGTCTTCCCAGTGCTCTGGAGTGGACGCTGTCTCCACAGCTGTCCCATTTGCCTGTCACCCATCTTCCCCTAAGTCAGAGGGGGGTTTCGGCTGGCACTCACCTTCTCGCTGCTCCATCGAGGAAGCTGGGCCTGCACTTCTCTTTGGATGTCCCTTCCATGGCCTTTCTCTGGGGCCTTTAAAGTCCCTCCTGAAACACACTGAGACCCAGTGGTGAAGTCAGGACTCAGAGCTCAGAGCAGGATGAGAGAACACCACAGCATGGCTGGGCACAACACCCCATGTCTGGGGACCCCACTCTAGAGCCCACAGCTCAGTCTCGGCAGAGAGAGACCTGTGAATCTGCATTTTTACAGTCCAAGCTCCTCTGTCACACAGCCAAGCCCTTTCTCCAGAATCTTTTTCTTATACTTTTCCTGAAATTGAGTTTGGTCTGAAAATTCTTCCTTTTTTT